TCGATTATGCTGTGAGTTGAATAACACGATTATTGAGATAGTGAAGGACACAACAGATTAAAGTTAAATCTCAATGCACCACCATCTGTAAAGCAAATACTTATGATTTATTACTTGATTTTGTTGTCTGAACTCTTATTGCTAATGTTCTTCCCGTAGAAAGAATACCACTTCATGTTGTTGATTGTTTATGGGAGAAAAGAAACCAAGTGGATGATGTCAATATGATGTTGAGAAGGGTCAGCTGCCTACTAGTACGCATCGCAAAACATCACTATTCGATTGAGGTGAGTTGTATCATAACTATAAGGTTGAAGAGAGAGAAAAGTATGTTTGATGCTTTAAATGAATAACTTATTCAATGTAAACATTTCTGCGTATCATCAGTCTCTGTTTTAAAATTATGAAGATAATCTGTAATGTTTACAATAATTGCTAAGTCTTGCACTTTACTGACAGCATCATTCCATAATCAATGTAGGCACTTCATATTTGTTTACAGTCCACTGTCATATACACTTATGCATTTGTAACTTCTAAAGTATGCGTTGAATAGATTTAGCCACTGAATATCAATGTAGATGAATTGAAGGTAAATCAGAGCAGTTGAGCGTCAGAATGTATAACTGTCAGATTTTGTTTTTCTGTATGATATTATGCTATCAACGACGAAATTATGAATTTACGATTTCGTGAATATTATAGTAGCGTGTATTTTTTACAATGTCATTGCTCGTTGTGTCTTAGCTTGTAATAAACTACTACAGACTAATTCATTGCATTTTACACATCAGACTTGCTTTATGCGTTTGATTCTCATATCTGAACTCGTGATAAGAAATCCACATTCTTCATCACCTTACTAACATATCATAAAGCGATATATGTCGCTGGCAATTTAGTCACCATTACGTGATATTTCATGCATGTTATCACCCGTGTTCACTTTGTGTACTGTAGTAAAGATGGTTGTCCTAAACGTCAAGTATTATTGAAGAGACATGGATCATTGCATTCCTCAAAGTTTGTAATGACACTGTATTTATTGATTTAATAAATAATATAATTTTGATATTCTTTTGCATTGTAGATCAACCAGAATGTTTTGCGTTGATAAAGCGTATGGGGTTATAATAGTTTTATTTCCACAACTCAACATTGTGATACTTTCAATGAACTTTAATCTGACTATTAGCTCAAGCTCAACATCAAGCACATAAAATGAGTGCATATGATCTCATTTTTGATGGTTAGCTAAAGGTCATTCAATCAGCCAACTCATATGATGTCATCCATGTAATGACTTGCCATATTATGTCAGACAAAAACTAGTGCAGTCAGTTATTTCCATAATCATAATGGTCTTGCGTATAGTTACACTACGAAAATAAACATAATTATAATCATCCGAATAGACGTTTCCTGAATAATGTGACATGTAATAGCTTACTGTTTGTGTTGAACATGTAGAAACTAGTTTTTTGTGAGCTGATTATCCTCAATATCATTTCAAGTCTTGAATGACCAAGAAGATTACTTACTGTTATAGATTAGTCAGAATAACTCAAAACTCAATTGATTTTGAAGACGAAAGCTATGAGAATAGCTTTATAATCATATTATCAAGAATATTAGCATGTTTCAGACAACCACACTTTATCGACTAGGCAGCAACTTAGAATTCAGGTCGCAGGATCTGCACTCTATATATCGGTCAGTTTTTCAATACTAAAGACTTAATTGCATAATTTGGATGTGTGAGAACAGCCGAGTGAGAGCTAGTCCTTCTGTATCAGATGGGACAGTAAGATCGTTTGCACAAATCTCTAATTCATATTTATTTGTAGCGAATTCGCATTTCAAAGTGATGATAAAATATATGAAGCCTCCTAACAGTTGAAGTCAGTTCAATGTCATTTTTCTCAACTGAGTTCTAATCGTGTTTGATATTTGCCATAGTATGGAATGGATGCATGTTTAAAAATGTACGGAATACCTACTCAAGTACAATCATTTTAAGTGTTGATATGTGTCACCTGGCTTTTAGATGACAGGTGGCGTTAGACAATTGAGATTGAATGATGAACAGGTGAATCTCGTTAATATGCATTGATTGCAAACTGAAAACTCAGCAGCTATATCTCAAATTTATGACCTTTACATTAAATTGTAATCGAATTCCTGAAAGGAAAGGTTAACCAATAGGCCGTCTCATGAGATAAAAAGTCCTTTCACAAGGTCATAGTTCCATCTAAGCACGTGCTTGGTTAGGTGAAGAATGATAGAGTATGTTTTACTACATATTCTCAAATGTGTGTTTGCTGAATCGTCGCCCCACCTTGAACTCGTACTTCCCTCTTCCAGACACATATTTGAGCACATCCATTAGTGACATAAATGGTACTCTTTAATCAGCAATGTGCTATTCCATTGCCAAACTTTGAATGTGTATTGCAATGCGTCGTTGGTGGAGACCATCTTGTGTGTGCTCAGTTAGTTATACTTGTTACAGACTAAACTAAAAATGAGAAGCTGAATATTTAGAGAAAACTGTTTGTTTCCATATTTTTGATAGAACAATGAGAAGACGGAGTTGATCTGAAGAATGTGATTTATCTGTGCTATACATTTCGAACAATCTGGTCACACATATACTTATCGCGGCATTTTATATGAAAATACTGAAGGTCAAACAAATCAAAGTTCAATTAAAATAACCAGGGGGAGTGAAAGAATAAGAAATTGTCGCGTTGTCCTAGGCCATAGAATGACTTAAGGATTACCAAGGTAAATACAAGGTTACGACAAATTGTTTTTGTGCACATAAAGGAGGTTTAAATTTTCGAATAGCCAATGATTCAATAAACTTAAGAATTGATTTTGACAATTTCTATGCAACTTTCTAAATGCTGTTACAATGTCAATTTTGTGCCCTCTCTCAAGTATGTGTTTTGCTATTTCAATTTTTTGTGTTATATTGGAATCAACGATATTCAGTGACAAGTGATTCAACCACACATTTTGATTCACCATTTTCGTTATTGTTGAGGTAGATATTCCTGGGCTATACGTTTATGGATGATCATGAACTCAATGTACACATTTGCCCTGGTACAGACGAGAGTGAGAATAATTAGCTCTCTCTCTCGAAATGAGGTCTCTTCGTCACGTGTATGCAGCCAGTATCGGAGAAATCTTACTCTCTACCTTCTGGAGACACAAAATTGAAAGTCGGATGCTGTAACCAGGTTTCTGGAATCAGGGGATCAATTTGGGGAAGTTGAAAAACCTTGAGTCCAGACCAATGTAATTAAGACCGAAGTTTTATTCACTATTAACTTTATACTCAATGCTCAGTTTATTTAAAACTATCAAGTCGAACTTTATTAATAATGCCTCATAACTAATTAAAGAAAAATAAAGTGGCCGCTACTATGATTCACTTAAGGAAGATGTCTTGAACAAATTTGTTGAACGAAACTATTAATTCATATTGGAGAAGCTCATGATAAATTCCAACAGCATTTCGACGAAACACACACACCACTCTGTACGAACCAAATCGTACAGTTCATCGTCATTCAAATGTTTTATTATTGATTCTTTTTATTAGAAAACTGACTGGAGGTAACCATGAAAACAGGCTGATGTCGGTTCAAACTTTCAGAGCTTGGAAGCCTTCCACAAAATCTGTGACAGCTTAAAAAATAACCATCGGCGATGTGTTCCGTGCCAACATACAAGGAATCGTATAATCGAACAAACAACCAACCAACGCCTTCTACCTTTAAACAAGTGTTTCACTCAGAGCATTCTGTAATGTATGTTATTATGAAATAACATTGACCGTACTGAAAATTATTCATTTGCATCACAAGATATAATAATATATATGCATGCAACTAGGAACCTCATATTTGCTTTATTCAATTGAGATTTGTAATATTTTATTTACGTCACGTTCACTGTATCTAATAATCTGATCTTTGTATTCGTCTCAAAAACAGCCATTATGAATGTGATCGCACTTATGATAACTTGATTGGATGAAACTCACAATCTCCTTGTGAAACAAAAATATAAAAGGAGACGGGTATGTGATCGGTTCAATTGACGTGATATCGTAGTCTGAAAGTAAGTTAATCAAATATTCAGTATTAAATTATTGTTTCCGTAGCTTTTTGAAATTTACCTGAAAAATATAGACTAACACTGATGTACAATTTTTCAATAATAGAAACAGTCATATATAACAAAACGTTGTGATCGACAAATCGTATCATTTTTGAAAAAGAAAAATTCATCATTATCTAGTGGAGTTCACCACTCAGAGTGAATGAGTGTAGTGCAATGTTAAGAATCGACTCAAGTTAGTAATTTGAACTATGAGAGGCCAAACTGGCGATCTAAACCTCAAAGAAACAAAATGATTCGTGAATCATTCATGACTGAACACTGTTCTCGAGGTTCATACTAGGACAAAAGTCAAATCTACTGATCTTGAATCTCCTACAGTTGTTACCCGAACCCTGTCTTTGACCAAATATTATGAGTTGAACAATCTCTACATATATCTAGCAAGTATTCGCTCGGTAGTGAAAGCTGTTCAGTATGCATTACGATGCTCTAAGAAACTTCATTTCAGCAATTCACTCGATGTATTCCGCAAAATGGAATCAGGATTCACCGTACGAAACCGAAATTTAAATATTGCAACAAGTGAACCTGGTCAACAAAGTACTTAAATAACACATGAGATATGTTTGTTGATTCTCTCAAAGGTTAATGATATAGTGGAAAGTTAACATACGATGAAAAAAATTCCGTCAATCTTAATTATATTCTGAGCTAACGTATACAGATGGAGCAATTAGACCGGCTTTAGTTTTTAGATTTTAAATAGAAATGTCAAATAACCAACTATTTTTCAATATATTGATTGTGACCAACATATATCAGACGATATGTTGTTATTTTGATGACTGCTCAATCCAAACACATGTTATCGTTGTGAGAATTTGCTTCGTCTATAGACCACCGTTTTCGTACCCCATGTTGTCAGTGTATAACATCAAACCATCCGCGATGTTATGTAAATATCTCACCCTATACGCATAACAGCTTCTTAACTGAACGTTTGTTCAAATTCCACTTTACACTACAGACAAATATTTCAAATGAATTTAAAGTTGAATCACCTCACAATGATGATCACAAATAAGACCGTTGTTCTTTTAATATTCACAACTCTACTGCTAAATACTCACAACGCTATGCAGGGAAAATTGTCAAAGAAAACCTTCATAAATCGAAGTCGGTCAGTCAACAAAACCCTTTTCAACTTCACCGATACTAAAAACAAAACTGTATTTGATAATTGGATGGAGTATTCACATAAGGTTCAACGATCTAAAGCCACGCTCGTACCACTTCATGGACAGGTAAATTTAATTTACATATGCAATTTAACTGACACCATGTTTAGAATTACCAATCAGCCATATTCTTCTGTCTACTCAACTCACGACCAAATGGATCGAGTTTCGCCGGCGTCAAGAGGATAAACTATATTTCGGTTTTGCCAGAATATGACGGTGTAGTAATTGATCTTCATAGACAAGGTCTGAATACTTCTTTCAAACTGATCTTCTATGGAAACTGTGTGGATGTACAAAATTGTGTATTATGCGAGTCAAATTTTGAGGTAGTGTGGAATTCAATTATGGAGAGTAATTCAACGTGTTTTCTATTAAATGTTTATAGACATCTGGCGTACGACAACGAATAGAACTACCATTTAGCGAATTTACGCAACACAATCAAGGAAGACAGATATCTAATCGATTGCCGTCAAGTTTAAACCAAGTATCTCAAATCGGAATACAAGCATATACAAATAGATATGAGACTAAACAGCAAAATGGTGTAGGTTCCATCGAAATATTCACTATTTCAATATATAAAGAAGCTGGAAAGTCAGTTTGAATAAACCGAACTTATATGGAATTTCGACCACTTGATATGTAGCACTTATTAATGGTATGATAATTTTCATTTAGATTAAATGATTTTGTCAATAAATATCACATATCCACCAATGAGTATTGAATGTTTTCACGGGTTCCTTGTGGTTCACATGAACGTCGTTGAAGGTAAACTGTGATGTAACACGGGTCGCTGAATAGAAATGCATTCAAGTAGTTGAGAATATTTCCTGCTTACCTCGAAGTAACTGTCAGTCGTTGTGTACACATAGAACAACGCTTACTTTCGTGCACCAAACCAATTGGTGAAATTTAAAAACACGATATTCAGTGAAGAGATCTCTTTTGAAGGGACTTATTATCAAGTTGCATATACAGATATGAAGATGTTTTCACTAAACGTACTGGTTTCGTGATAAATAATTGAAATGATGTAATAGTGAGGTTATAATTCTAGATCATGTGATATGAATAATAACAATAGACCTAATAATTTATCATCGAGCCACCACGTGAATAAACAACAATGACTAACATGTGTATGTAAATAAAGATACACTTGTACAGTATTTCGCACTTATATATACTACTGCTTATTGTCTTTATGTCATCATAAATACTGTGAATGAATGATTTTCCTTAACGAAATCCTAGATGTTGTTGTCTTCCATTCCTCAAGTGCATTCACTGACTAACGGTCAGTTGAACTGGAGATCATTACGATGATTTTCAATATTAGACAAGCACAAGAAACAACAAGGAATAACCAGCGTGCATTAGTGTGTGTGAGAGAGAGAGAGATGGGTTGAGATCATAGTGGAAATAAAGCATGATTTAATCAATTCTAATAATCTTGACAATAATGTAAAGCAAAAATGTTATTAGTGATAAGTAATAATCATAGTTGACTTCATCAAGTTAATTTTCTTCTCCAACATTTAGCCTCCTTAATTCCAAAGTCCATCTTACAGTATAAAATTTAGCATGAATACATTTTATAAACATCTACTGATCATTTGTGATAGAGATCAATAGAGCATCTAATAGTTAGATTGAAAGTATCCGATTGACATTGATGATCAATTGATGTATATTTTGATGGGCACAGTACATAATTGAGACACGAGTATGCACTTCTCCATCTTGACTTTTCACATTTCCTCCATATGTCACCAGGTTTGCATACATATCGAAATGTCAATAATAACATTACACATATTATGTTAGAAACAAATCACAATGTGAATGTAGTTAGACAATCAACACTTCATTGTTACAGTACATGAGGTTACCTGATGTACAAAATAAATGACAGTATGAGACATAAGTAAAGGGAAATTAAGCAGAAATAGTTTTAATGGTTTAAAGCCAGCGCATTGATAAACATGGGACACACTTCTTTTTTTGTGCACATAGTTCTGGCTTGTTCTCATGGGTTGTTAAAGCTTCGGTTGTCATCGGTAGTTGGATACGAAGAAATCTGGGTAGACTTAGAAGAATCGTATAAATAACCTGTAAATTAAACTGAGAATCAACAGAATGGTGACAATCGATTAGATTTTTCAATGTAGGGACTTTAACTGCTTACTTCACTTTCTTGTAGAACCACACTGTGGCATATTCCCGTGACTTCGGTCAATGTATCTCCCTCTACAAGACTAGGTCAACTGAACTTATGAAATTGTAAACCTGACAAAGTATTCGGTATGATACTAAATGATCGTCAAGAAATGAGGTAAACTCTAGACGATGGTACCAGATTTTTCGGATCTAAAGAAGAAGTAAACAGAATACCGCAAATTAAATTGAAAAACCTTAAGAATAAGCAGATAATAACGACAGACCTCATTGGTCACATATGTTCAGTACGTTTTACGTTGTACGTTTAATGCCCAGCTGAGTTTCAACAATGAAATATATAGACAAGTTCATGGGCTTATAATGTGTTCTCCAGTGGGTCTACTTTGAGAGGATTATCGAAATTAATAATCCATGAATAAACAATGTTTTACTAGTTACACTATTTAATGTTAGCCAGACCACCGTTAAACAGATGGATGCACCCAAAAGCCGTTTTATCCAAGCACAGAACTACTCATCTGCATAAATGCATGTATTTATATTCGGAACCACATATTAATAATACCAATGTCCTCACTAATGTTTAGATACGGTATGTAGTTTTATTAGGAATCCCCCTCAGGAGATGGTAAAAATTTGTTTAATATTGTTAAGCTGATCAGTGTTAGACATTAACACTTTTTTGATGATTATCTAGAGTTCTATGCGTTACGTAAGACGGATTGGGTCTCCAGATGCAAGATAATGAGTACAAAGCGTTGTGTCTTCTCATTGTGTGATAAACAAGACTTTCAGTGCTCTCGGATGTTCAGAGGTGGTCTGCCTAATACAACTTGATGATTTAAATAATGAAGAGGTTACAATCTCTATAAAACAACATTCAACTCTATAACTAAGTAGTACAGTGTACTACATCGGAATTGCGGATGAGAAACAAACTGTGGTCCTATTTTCAAATGATGGAACTCATCAAAGAACACTTAAGATCAAACGATGATGTCCCCAGTCGTAAAGCCAATGTTTATAAATGGTTTCGCAATAGGTTTATTCATTGATTGATATTTTCTGTCTAAACGAGGAAACGATACACTGATTCGACGGATTGACAATATATCCTTTTACTGTCGTTATATGAAAGATTTGTTTAGGCTTTGTGATGACATTACTGGCCTGATAAGTACACTCGAGATATTTGATATTGTTCATCCGTCCACAAAATTCTTATGTGTGGGATAAAATTGAGATGAAAACGCCTTTCTTTACGTTCTACTTACAAGACCAATCGGCTGATTATTAGGAAGAAAAATAGACATGAAAACTACCTGGACAGATCAATAAGCAAACGTTCTTAATTTTGTTCATCTACAATAAAAAAGAGTCGTGATTAGGACACTTCATCATGGAGCCGAAACCATATGTTCTCTGAATGCGCTTGAAGACAAAACAAAAGGCATTGTACACGACCCCAAAAATAACCGAGTACCTGGAGAAATTTACAAATAACATGTAGCCAAAAAAGGAAAGCATGAGGAATGCCCAACCGTGATCAAAGCGCCTCTGTATATGCAATCAAAACTTAGAAGCGATGCGCCTAGTAAAACACTGAATCTAAGGTTACGCAGATTAATTCAAAGAACTTCTAATGCTGGTAAACTACGATCAGTGTTCACCACACATACAATGATTGTTCTGTCGTTAAGAAAAAAAGAAGTCTGAACTAGTCACTCCTTTCTTTATCTTTCAGGTTAACCGCTCCTGTGCAGAATGTTTCATTGGTAGAGATGTTCTGGTGATTTGTACGTTCGGGTTTGTGAGCACCTTTCAATGTGGTTAAGCGAAGGTATCGTCAAAAATGTTAACAGTTCCAATTAAGCTGATTTGTTTCAAATTTGAAACACAGTCAACATGGAGCAACAGTTTACAACAATATATCGCGTTAACACCGGGCTATGTGATTCCGTGGTACTGCTTTCCTTCGGTAATTGCTATTCCGATCAAGACACCAGGGCTTTGCCACGGAAGATATATGTTTAGCTGCTCCTTTGACCTCGGACAAGTTCGGGCTCAACTAGTTGTTAGTCAATTGACTGATATGGCGACGTAGTTGTTCTAATGCTAAATTTTGTATGCGAACCTTATCTTATCCACACACCCTAACATTTTCATTATTATGATTGTAATTATAACACTTGCTAATCGTTCTCAGAAATGTATTCAGTGTCCGACCAACATCAATAATTCGCGCACTATTCATATAATTCTGCGTATAACACTATTCTTGATTTGTAATTGCATCAATCTCTCGCACCCCGTGCTGACCATTAATCATTATCTATTTCGCATTGAAAACAGAAAGTTCAATGAAGGGATCTCTTTTCATCGAATCTATTTTCAAGCTGTTCAATCATAAACATATTTATGATGATCGTTTCTCCTCCAAGTACTAGTTTTGTGAAGAGATATGAACAAGAAATAAACACAATGACGTAATGGACAGATTGCTACACCGGATTACGTCATGTGGATAATAACAATAGACCTAAGAAGTTAGGAAGAAATCACAACGGGAACGTAGTTAGAAGACGCAGATGTCGATATCAGTTTAAGAATAGTAAATATAACTACAGAAGCATTTTGACTAACATGCACAGAGAGACTATCAACGAACACAATAATGTCACGAATTTGATTATCACGATAAGTCTTTAAGAAAGAGCAACTGTTCTTCTTAAGAAAAATGACTTCTTTGACAAGATCAACATTATCTTGAATAATCACCGAAAACGTCAGAAACAGAATGAACAAAGGGATGTCAACAGAAGATATAGATAGAATGGAACGGATCATTGGCGAAGCTCAGATATCAACAAGTGATCACAACAAACATTGATAAAACAATTTGCCCCCTAGATACCCACTTATCTAGGTTATGTAGACTACGAACGTATATTTCAAGTTCAGTGGTGGAATGTATAGACTAATAGATGGTGTCGCTATGGGTTAACCCTCAGGTCACATATTGACGGACGATTCACTCGCCAAATTAGAAGGCACTCCACCAGTACTGACAAGTTTTCATTTTACTACCGATATATGAACGATAGGTTTATGTAATGGAATGTCTAGACCGAACTGATATATACACTTTAACGATTCAACATAGTTCGTCCTTCAATAAAATTTGTATTATCCCCCCTTTTCTTTAACATTTTTCTCTCTTTGTGTCTCCCTCTTATGCCATGTTGACCATATTAATTCTGACCAATATTTGTCTCACAGTTTCATTTCACTTATAAATTCATTCACGTTAACACTTCATAATAGTCAGCCTAACATGAACAATTTGATGCCATTTTGTGTGTCGTTTTCTGCCCTAATTATCTGACCAAGTTATTTGGATTATTAATTTCGATAATCCTCTCAAAGTAGACCCACTGGAGAACACATTATAAGCCCATGAATTTGTCTATATATTTCATAGTTGAAACTCAGCTGGACATTGAACGTACAACGTAAAACGCATTGAACATATGTGACCAATAAGGTCTGTCGTTATTATCCGCTTATTCGTAAGATTGTTCAATTTAATTTGCGGTATTCTGTTTACTTCTTCTTTAGGTCCGAAAAGTTTGGTACCATCGTCTAGGGTTTACCTCATTTCTTGATGATCATTTAGTATCACACCTACTACTTTGTCAGGTTTACAATTTCTTAAGCTCAGTTGATTTAATCTTGTAGAGGAAGATACATTGACCGAAGTCACGGGAACATGCCACAGTGTGGTTCTACAAGAAAATGAAATAAGCAGTTAAAGTCTCAACATTGGAAGATCTAATCGATTGTCACCATTCTGTTGATTCTCAGTTTAATTTACAGGTTGTTTATACGATTTTTCTAAGTCTACCCAGATTTCTTCGTATCCAACTACCGATGACAGCCGAAGCTTTAACAACCCATGAGAACAAGCCAGAACTATGTGCACAAAAACAAGAAGTGTGTCCCATGTTTATCGATGTGCTGGCTTTAAATCATTATAACTATTTCTGCTGAATTTCCCTTTACTTATATCTCATACTGTCATTTATTTTGTACATCAGGGTAACCTCAGGTACTGTAACAATGAAGTGTTTATGGTCTAACTTTATTCACATTGTGATTTGTTTCTAACATAATATGTGTAATGTTATTATTGACATTTCGCTATGCATGGAAACCTGGTGACATATGGAGGAAATGTGAAAAGTCAAGATGGAGAAGTGCACACTACTCTCTCAGTTATGTACTGTGCCCATTAAAATATACATCAATTGATCATCAATGTCAATCGGATACTTCCAATCTAACTTTAAGATGCTCTATTGATCACTATCACAAATAATCACAAATGATGTTTATAAAGTGTATTCATGCTAAATTTTATACTGTAAGATGGACTTTGGAATTCAGGAGGCTAAATGTTGGAGAAGAAAATTAATTTGATGAAGTCAACTATGATTATTATTTATCACTAATAACATTTTTGTTTTACATTATTGTCAAGATTATTACAATCGATTAAATCATGCTTTATTTCCACTATGATCTCAGACCCCTATCTCTCTCCCACACACACACACACCAATGCACGCTGGTTATTCCTTGTTGTTTCTTGTGCTTGTCTAATATTGAAAATCATCGTAATGATTTCCATATCCACTGACCGTTAGTCAGTGAATGCACTTGAGGAATGGAAGACAACAACGTCTAGGATTTCGTTAGGGAAAATCATTCATTCACAGTATTTATGATGACATAATGACAATAAGCATTAGTATATATAAGTGTGAAATACTGTAAAAGTGTGTCTTTATTTACATACACATGTTAGTCATTGTTGTTTATTCACGTGGTGGCTCGATGATAAATTATTAGGTCTATTGTTATTATTCATATCACATGATCTAGAATTATAACCTCACTATTACATCATTTCAATTATTTATCACGAAACCAGTACGTTTAGTGAAAACATCTTCATATCTGTATATGCAACTTGATAATAAGTCCCTTCAAAAGAGATCTCTTCACCGAATATCGTGTTTTTAAATTTCACCAATTGGTTTGGTGCACGAAAGTAAACGTTGCTCTATGTGTACACAACGACTGACAGTTACTTCGAGGTAAGCAGGAAATATTCTCAACTACTTGAATGCATTTCTATTCAGCCACCCGAGTTACATCACAGTTTACCTTCAATGACGTTCGTGTGAACCACAAGGAACCCGTGAAAACATTCAATACTCATTGGTGGATATGTGATATTTATTGACAAAATCATTTAATCTAAATGAAAATTATCATACTATTAATAAGTGCTACATATCAAGTGGTTGAAATTCCATATAAGTTCGGTTTATTGAAACTGACTTTCCAGCTTCTTTATATGTTGAAATAGTGAATATTTCGATGGAACCTACACCATTTTGCTGTTTAGTCTCATATCTATTTGTATATGCTTGTATTCCGATTTGAGATACTTGGTTTAAACTTGACGGCAATCGATTAGATATCTGTCTTCCTTGATTGTGTTGCGTAAATTCGCTAAATGGTAGTTCTATTCGTTGTCGTACGCCAGATGTCTATAAACATTTAATAGAAAACACGTTGAATTACTCTCCATAATTGAATTCCACACTACCTCAAAATTTGACTCGCATAATACACAATTTTGTACATCCACACAGTTTCCATAGAAGATCAGTTTGAAAGAAGTATTCAGACCTTGTCTATGAAGATCAATTACTACACCGTCATATTCTGGCAAAACCGAAATATAGTTTATCCTCTTGACGCCAGCGAAACTCGATCCATTTGGTCGTGAGTTGAGTAGATAGAAGAATATGGCTGATTGGTAAATCTAAACATGGTGTCAGTTAAATTGCATATACAAATTAAATTTACCTGGCCATAAAGTGGTACGAGCGTGGCTTTAGATCGTTGAACTTTATCTGAATACTCTATCCAATTATCAAATACAGTTTTGTTTTTAGTATCAGTGAAGTTGAAAAGGGTTTTGTTGACTGATCGACTTCGATTTATGAAGGTTTTCTTTGACAATTTTCCCTCCATAGCGTTGTGAGTATTTAGCAGTAGAGTTGTGAATATTAAAAGAACAACGGTCGTATTTGTGATCATCATTGTGAGGTGATTCAACTTTAAATTCATTTGAAATATTTGTCTGTAGTGTAAAGTGGAATTTGAACAAACGTTCAGTTAAGAAGCTGTTATGCGTATAGGGTGAGATATTTACATAACATTGCGGATGGTTTGATGTTATACACTGACAACGTGGCGTACGGAAACGGTGGTCTATAGACGAAGCAATTTCTCACAACGATAACATGTGTTTGGATTGAGCAGTCATCAAAATAACAACATATCGTCTGATATATGTTGGTCATAATCAGTATATTGAAAAATAGTTGGTTATTTGGCTATTTCTATTTAAAATCTAAAAACTAAAGCCGGTCTAATTGCGCCATCTGTATATGTTAGCTCAGAATATAATTAAGATTGACGGAATTTTTTTCATCGTATGTTAACTTTCCACTATATCATTAACCTTTGAGAGAATCAACAAACATATCTCATGTGTTATTTAAGTACTTTGTTGACCAGGTTCACTTGTTGCAATATTTAAATTTCGGTTTCGTACGGTGAATCCTGATTCCATTTTGCGGAATACATCGAGTGAATTGCTGAAATGAAGTTTATTAGAGCTTCGTAATGTATACTGAACAGCTTTCACTACCCAGCGAATACTTGCTAGATATATGTAGAGATTGTTCAACTCATAATGTTTGGTCAAAGACAGGGTTCGGGTAACAACTGTAGGAGATTCAAGATCAGTAGATTTGACTTTTGTCCTAGTATGAACCTCGAGAACAGTGTTCAGTCATGAATGATTCACGAATCATTTTGTTTCTTTGAGGTTTAGATCGCCAGTTTGGCCTCTCACAGTCCAAAGCACTAACTTCAGTCGATTCTCAACATTGCACTACACTCATTCACTCTGAGTGGTGAACTCCACTAGAAAATGATGGATTTTTCTTTACAAAAATGATACGATTTGTCGATCACAACGTTTTGTTATATATGACTGTTTCTATTATGGAAAAATTGTACATCAGTGTCAGTCTATATTTTTCAGGTAAATTTCAAAAAGCTACGGAAACAATAATTTAATACTGAATATTTGATTAACTTACTTTCAGACTACGATATCACGTCAATTGAACCGATCACATACCCGTCTCCTTTTATATTTTTGTTTCACAAGGAGATTGTGAGTTTCATCCAATCAAGTTATCATAAGTGCGATCACATTCATAATGGCTGTTTTTGAGACGAATACAAAGATCAGATTATTAGATACAGTGAACGTGACGTAAATAAAATATTACAAATCTCAATTGAATAAAGCAAATATGGGGTTACTAGTTACGCGCACACATATTTTTATATATTGTGATGCAAATGAAATATTTTGAGTACGGCCAATGTTATTTCATAATAACACACATTACAAAATGATCTGAGTGAAGCACTTATTTGAAAGTAGAAGGTGTTGGTTGATTGTTTTGTTCAATTATACGATTCCTTGTATGTTGGCACAGAACACTTCACCGATGGTTAGTTTTTAAACTGTCAGATTTTGTGGAAGGCTTCCAAGCTCTGAAAGTTTGAACCGACATCAGACTGATTTCATGGTTACCTTCAGTCAGTTTTCTAATAAAAAGAATCAATAATAAAACATTTGAATGACGATGAACTGTACGATTTGGTTCGTACAGAGTGGTGTGTGTGTTTCGTCGAAATGCTGTTGGAATTTATCATGAGCTTCTCCAATATGAATTAATAGTTTCGTTCAACAAATTTGTTCAAGACATCTTCCTTAAGTGAATCATAGTAGCGGCCACTTTATTTTTCTTTAATTAGTTATGAGGTATTATTAATAAAGTTCGACTTGATAGTTTTAAATAAACTGAGCATTGAGTATAAAGTTAATAGTGAATAAAACTTCGGTCTTAATTACATTGGTCTGGACTCAAGGTTTTTCAACTTCCCCAAATTGATCCTCTGATTCCAGGAACCTGGTTACAGCATCGGACTTTCAATTTCGTGTCTCCAGAAGGTAGAGAGTAAGATTTCTCCGATACTGGCTGCATACACGTGACGAAGAGACCTCATTTCGAGAGAGAGAGCTAATTATTCTCACTCTCGTCTGTACCAGGGCAAATGTGTACATTGAGTTCATGATCATCCATAAACGTATAGCCCAGGAATATCTACCTCAACAACAACGAAAATGGTGAATCAAAATGTGTGGTTGAATCACATGTCACTGAATAACACAGATTCCAATATAACACAAAAAATTGAAATAGCAAAACATATACTTGAGAGAGGGCACAAAATTGACATTATAACAGCATTTAGAAAGTTGCATAGAAATTGTCAAAATCAATTCTTAAGTTTATTGAATCATTGGCTATTCGAAAATTTAAACCTCCTTTATGTGCACAAAAACAATTTGTCGTAACCTTGTATTTACCTTGGTAATCCTTAAGTCATTCTATGGCCTAGGATAACGCGACAACTTCTTATTCTTTCACTCCCCCTGGTTATTTTAATTGAACTTTGATCTGTTTGACCTTCAGTATTTTCATATAAAATGCTCCGATAAGTATATGTGTGACCAGATTGTTCGAAATGTATAGCGCAGATAAATCACATTCTTCAGATCAACTCCGTCTTCTCATTGTTCTATCGAAAATATGGATACAAACAATTTTCTCTAAATATTCAGAGTCTCATTTTTAGTTTAGTCTGTAGCAAGTCTAACTAACTGAGCACACACAAGATGGTCTCCACCAACGATGCATTGCAATACACATGAAACTTATCATTAAATATTTTAACCAGACAATAACGTACAAGTAAGCAGATTCAGAGTTTGGCAATGGAATAGCACATTTCTGATTAAAGAGTACCAATTATGTCACTAATGAATGTGCTCAAATATGTGTCTGGAAGAGGAAAGAAAAAGTTCAAGGTGGGGCGAAGATTCAGCAAACACACATTTGGGAATATATAGTAAAGCATACTCTATCAATCTTCACCTAATCAAGCACGTGCTTAGATGGAACTATGACCTTGTGAAATGACTATTTGTTAACCTTTTCTTTCGGGAATTCGATTACAATTTAATGAAAACGTCAAAAATGTGAGATATAGCTGATGAGTTTTCAGTTTGCATTTTTAAATATGCATGCATTCCATACTATGGCAAATATCAAACACGATTAGAGCTCAGTTGAGAAAAATGACACTGAACTGACTTCAGCTGTTAGGAAGCTTCATATATTTTATCATCACTTTAAAATGCGAAGATCTTTTCACTAAATTTACTGGTTTCGTGATGAATAATTAAAATGATGTAACAATCAGTCATTGAACACACATCCAACAACGTTTACTTTCGTGCACCAAACCAATTGGTGAAATTTAAAAACACGATATTCAGTGAAGAGATCTCTTTTGAAGGGACTTATTATCAAGTTGCATATACAGATATGAAGATGTTTTCACTAAACGTACTGGTTTCGTGATAAATAATTGAAATGATGTAATAGTGAGGTTATAATTCTAGATCATGTGATATGAATAATAACAATAGACCTAATAATTTATCATCGAGCCACCACGTGAATAAACAACAATGACTAACATGTGTATGTAAATAAAGATACACTTTTACAGTATTTCACACTTATATATACTAATGCTTATTGTCATTATGTCATCATAAATACTGTGAATGAATGATTTTCCCTAACGAAATCCTAGACGTTGTTGTCTTCCATTCCTCAAGTGCATTCACTGACTAACGGTCAGTGGATATGGAAATCATTACGATGATTTTCAATATTAGACAAGCACAAGAAACAACAAGGAATAACCAGCGTGCATTGGTGTGTGTGTGTGTGGGAGAGAGATAGGGGTCTGAGATCATAGTGGAAATAAAGCATGATTTAATCGATTGTAATAATCTTGACAATAATGTAAAACAAAAATGTTATTAGTGATAAATAATAATCATAGTTGACTTCATCAAATTAATTTTCTTCTCCAACATTTAGCCTCCTGAATTCCAAAGTCCATCTTATAGTATTAAATATCAACAATATCAAACGTGATTGTATAGGTGTAGGCTGATAAATATCTGTATCTGACTACAATTCATATTAATGACTGGTCGCAAATTGAATTTCCAATTCTTACTATATTGTTACAATGGAATTGGTAGTGCTACTATTAAGTCAAGAGTAAATCGGCTGCTCACATTTGTTTATGACACGATAAGTACATAGACGTTGTACATTATCACTTCTATTGATATAATGAAAAACTCAGTAGTAAAGTGTGACCCATTTCAGTTGACTGAGTTAATCAATTAACAAGAGATTATTTTCGAAACAAGTCGAAATGCTTTCAGACACTTAGATCTCTAAAGATGCCATAGTTATTCGTAGATTAACAACACATCAATAAGTCACATGTTTGATAATCTAAACTTGCCAACATAGCGAAATCAGAAGTGAGAAGCTGGGAGGTTCAATAACTTATTTAATGAGCTATGGACATATGGAAACGTGACCGGTATAAGATGTCTAACGGTTGTAGGAGACGTTGAGCATAGCCCACCCTATCGTGATCTGGTGCGGATGATTGAACAGGCGCCTTCAGCTCACTAAATCTAATACGATCAGAATCAAATGTCGAAGACTTACAGATCTGCAGAGTTTGGAGGTTTATTCATCGCTACAACGTGCATGGTTAAGAAAACCGAATAAATGACAATGCAAAACAAAATAACAATTTCTGAAGTTCTAACTAATGTTTTACCAGTTACACTATTTATTGTTAACTAGACCACCGTTAAATAGATTGATGAACTGAAAAGCCTAAACGTGAACAAAACACCTCTGTCTATACAATCACAATTTAGAGGCGGTGCGCTCAGTGAAATATTTCGTCTAATGTTATGCAGATGAATCTAAAGAGCTCCTAACGCAAGCGAACTACAATCAGTGTTTTCCATACATGCAATGATTATTCTGTTGTTGAAAAATAAATTTTCTGAGCTAGTCACTCCTTTCTGTATCTATCAATTCAACCGCTTCTGTGCAGTTTGTTGCGTAAGTAGAGATGTTCTGGGGATTTGTATATTCGGGCTCGTGAGCGCCCCTCAATGTGGTTAATCAAAGGTGTAGTTGAGAATGTTACCAGTTCCACTTTAGCTCATTTAATTCAGATTTGACACGCTGCCAACATGAGCAACATTTTACAACAATATATCGTGTTAACAGTAGTCTACGTGATTCCGTGGTACTGCGAAATATGTAGACGTCTGAAACAATTGCTATTCCGATCAAGACGCCAGGGCTTTGCCACGGAAGATATATGTTTGGCCGCTCGTTTCAATCTGGCCAAGTTCGAGGCCAACTAGTTGTTAGTCAATTGACTGATATGGCGACATAGTTGTTCTAATGTTAAATTTTGTATGCGGAACTTATCTTATCCACACACCCTAACATTTTCATTATTATGATTGTAATTATAACACTTGCTAATCGTTCTCAGAAATGTATTCAGTGTCCGACCAACATCAATAATTCGTGCACTATTCATATAATTCTGCGCATAACACTATCCTTGATTTGTAATTACATCAATCTCTCGCACCCCGTGCTGACCATTAATCAATATCTATTTCACATTGAAAACAGAAAGTTCAATGAAGGGATCTCTTTTCATCGAATCTATTTTCAAGCTGTTCAATCGTAAACATATATATTATGATCGTTTTCCCTCAAATTAATAGTTCTGTGAACGGATAAGAACAAAAAAAACCAAAATGACAGAATATTACACTGGATAACCTAATATGAATATTAGCAATAGACCTAAGAAGTTAGCAAGAAATGACAACGTGAACGTAGTAAGAAGATTGAAGTGTCGCTAACAGTTTGAGAACGGTAGATACAACTGCAGTAGCATTTTAATTAAAATGCGCAGAGGGGCTATCAACGAACCCAATAATGTCACGAATTCGATTATCACGATAAGTCTTTAAGAAAGAGCAACTGTTCTTCTTAAGAAAAATGACTTCTTTGACAAGATCAATATTATCTTGAATAATCACCAAAATCTTCAGTAACAGAATGATCA